AAGACTTTTAACAACACAACCCTTATCTACTCACTTCCGGCCGATTGGAGAGTAAGGTTGTTTTATTTTAGATATGTGTGTCCATTAAACTTGCAGTTGAATGGAATTTCATAACAAGAGCCCTTACCACCAGCAGATAACATTTAAAAAGTTTGGTAGCAACATTAATAACCACATACCGTATCCTGGATGTACTTTTCCCCAGAACACACTCCTGCTGTATCACAAAACAAAAATGCTACTATTGACAATCCTGAAAAGCTCTGACTTTTCCAGTTTCTTTATTCCTTTATTACAGTAACCCTATGACCCCTACAGTTTATGGTCACTAAATAAGTTGGCGTATGTTAAGCAACTGAGGAAACGTCATATTATTTTGAAAAAACTAATTACATCAATTGCAAGTATGTGGAAGATCATTAACCCAAATCTTGCAGTAAAACCCGAGAGCAGAATTGTTCAACATTGTCTAATTTCATCACTCTGAACTGTGAAGCTTATATAATGTACTCGGCTGATTCTTGTAATTCATGGATTGTATCCATACTGCTGAATGTAAATGCACTCACTGTAATGCATAAATCTAAATGTGATGTGACTTTTTGCCAATTTGTAGTGTTGAAATAACGTAGCTGTTTGTGGTTGGTATGTTTTTCTGTCAACACCTCTTTTGGCAATGGAAATGTGTAAACTACCATCTGCTATGTTTCTATTGTTCTACATGTAGGTGACAGCTGCTACGTCGTACCTATAAGGATCAGGGTTGCATAAACTAAATAAATAATTTATAATTTCTCTTAGAGGTGGAGTGGAGTGGGACACAGTGAGTTTACTAGCTGTTTACTTGCTTTTCAATGGAAAGAGTTCATGTTCCAATGCTAAATAATTTACAGAGAGAAGTATTTGCTACATGTTTTCAAGTGTCTGAATCAATACTACGTATTAGTGAACGTTCACTTTAGTCATCGAGGTAAAAAGTTGGTCCAAGATTTTACAGAGTGACTTTAACCTCAGGCTCACATGATCAAGAAAATGACGGCAAATTACAGAAATATGGAGTTTATTACATAACAAGCAGCTATTACATCATCCTCACTTGATTCCCTATCGGGTATTGTAAGGATAATTGCTGTGATCATTTTAAGAAATTATATCATAGAGTTACATTCATTCTCTGTGCAGCTGTTTGTCCTGCTTCCTCATCATCACGCACTTTAGAGTTGACATAGATTACTGGAAATAAGCAACCAAATGAATGCGATTACACAAGCATCTGATGATTTCATTCCAGTTTTTTCTCAAGGCTTTGATATAGTGTATTGCATCACATTTCTTCTTGTTAGCGGAATATTACTCCTCCGAGACATATTAGACGTGAATCATTTCAATTTGGTGTTTTGCTTAATCACCCTCTTGCCATACAAACAATCTGCAAACATGATTATTCATTAACGCAACGAGAATATGGGATTTAATTGAATATGTGCGGGAATGTAGCGTGTGTGAAGATTGCTCACGAGTGCTCGCTCTTTTCAAACAAACTCTAAATCAAAGCATGATGAAGCACCGTTTGAATACATCTTTCTGCCTAGATGTGCTTTTTTTCATAGCCTGGATGCATCTCAGGAGAGTGCTACAGTTAAAGGTCTATATTACTTCTAATTTAAATGCATTAGCATCTTTCTGCCCTCCATGGCCATCCAACAAATCCAACAAATAGATAGCAAAAAAAGAAACAGTTGGTCCCTTTGGCATGCAACATTAAAAAATACATCCACCCGGATTTACTGCATGGGTTTCAAACAAATTTCCCTTTCCTGCTTGGCTGCCCGTGTGAAGGTAGCTAATACATTAATAATTTAAACACTTTCCTCCACCTCTTTTTGTGCTATTGAGCCTCAGGCTTATAATGCCACTCAGTACCGTGGCCTCTCACACAATGCACCAAATACTCTGCGTAGTACAAATACGTTGCTGCTAAATGAGGGGTCTTGATCTGTGTCCAGCAGAGAGGAAATCAAGGAGGTGTTTGGATGTATAGCTTCTAGAGGCCAGAACTAATTCACTCGATGGTAGCTACCTAGCAACTGTTCTGCTGATGAGTAGGTGTGTATCGGAGGGAATTCATTTCATATCATGAGAGGAAAACGTGTGTATGCCAGCTTTTCACACAGGTGTCAAGGTTGACCTGAGCACAGGTCACTGCACAGACAAGGAGCACTCAGTATGATTCCCCTGTGATATGAGGCAGTAACACCAATTTCCAAAACGAACCAAAAATGACAAGCAATGAAATCACCACAAGATTTCAATAATTTAACTTTGTTGTTTGCTGGATCATTTAAAACATTTAGGACCATCAACTATACATTATATATAAACTGACATACATGTTTTTATAAAGTCTGTCCTTCATTTATTAGCTATATTTCATAGGCTGTAAATATCAACGGACGAAGCCTGAGTGACGTCACCGTTTTAAGCGTCTTGACTAACCGCAACACTGCGCCCGTCTATCAATCAGGTCCGCTACGTGCCTTATTGTGAATAACGCTGATCCTTCATAAATTTAAACTGATTCGTTTAAGAACAAAATCAGCCTCATACAGTGTGTGCCGATTGAGACATGAGCTAACCAGACCTATTTCGGTTTTTGAACCAGGCTGTAAACATGTTAATTCCTGCTGTAAAAAACATGCTTGTTTGAATGGGTGTGTATGTGACTTCCAGTGCTTCTGCAGCCAGCCTCTAGTGGACACTCAAGGAACTGCATTGGCTTCATTTTTCAACAACACAACTTGCCGCTTGATATATTTTTAATAAAAATCTAATTTCCTGTACAATCAATGGATCAAATGAAAACAGTTAAATTAAACACGTGAACCCACACATACGCCAGCTCTTGAGGATGTAGTGTCATCAAGCTCGTTGTTTTTGCTTTATGCACCACAACTTTGAGAAGATCAGCGCTAAAAGAGAAGTACATATTGGACTGGTAATTCAATTACATTTATAATATTGATGTAAACTCACCGCAGCTACTGATGATGGTGGTGCTGTCACCCGTTCATACAATTTACAATAGGCCCCACTTGGTTTTTTTTCTGTATTTGCAACATCAAATATACTTTACCTTTATCTCTGAAGTACAGCACTTAAAGTAGCTGCAGCTTCAGATTATCATTCAGTGACGCCTTCCAGGAATGCCAATCCACTCCTCCTCCTCCTCCTCCTCCTCCTCCTCCTCCTGCCCTCCCCGCACTGAGGGAGGCTGGGATAGAGGGATGGACAGAGGAGATTAGTGCGAGTTGTCTCATTCAGAAGCTGTATGAGTCATCCTGCTGTATCACTCGCAGTGTTTGTAACACCTACACAACAACTCCAAGGGGCACAGCATTCACCTGCTCACAAACACAAACTGCATTTTACATAGGTTGAAGCTACATGTATATACTTGTTACGTTTGTTACACCTCACTGAATCAACAACGAAAAATCCTGAGGCTAAACAGATCTGCAGGTAAATCTACAGCGACAAACACCCTAACCTGCTGTGGCAACAACAGCCATTTGCAACAAAACTTCCTGACATCTTTAAAGTTCAGGATTATTACCTTTAACGTGATTTGAAGAGGGTTTGCTCACTAAAGTGTTTGGATAGGATAGGATAGGATAGTACTTTATTGATCCCCAGAGGGGAAATTCGGGCGTTACAGCAGCACAGACAAGAAAATTGTCCATTAATTTACTGTTTACTTTGAACCTTGGCTGCACACATGCTCTTCTATTTCACCTACATGGTCCGGGGGAAGCATAGAGAAATTGGTTCTGCACCAAGGAATTAAGCCCATATGAAAATGTAAATGGTGAACGCTCTTGTGAAATTCCTGTCATGCATTATTCATGTGCCACAAACGAATGTGTGCAAACAAGGGCCTGTTCTCCAATTCCTCTCTACCTACACTCGTGAAGACGTGATGTAGCATAACTGAGTGGAGTGCAGCGTCATCTCTATTGTGTCATATTCTATAGACTGTATGTTTTAGTAGGAATAGTTTTTACTGTACGTCATCGTATTCTTTTTGTTTCTCCGTCTTTTACTCCTCTCCCATGTCTATCTGACAAATATGAAGCTAACACCAAAAGTCAGTTGAAACAAGCTCGCCTCTAAAGCTAGCTAACCAGCTAGCTTGCAAACAACACTCTAAACAAATAAATCTCATAAATGTGGTTAAAAGATGTTGGAAGACAGTTTTTTTTTAATTGTGTTTACTCTAGGCTAAGCTAACAGCTGGTTAGCTTGCTGTTGCTTGCTCCTTTTTTTTAACGCACAGGCGTAAAGTGTTTCTCGTCAAACCCTTGACAAGAAAGCTTAGAAGTCTGAGTTATTGCTCTGTTAATTTGCTACAGGATTACTTGGGTGAGTTTATATCTCACCTTATCTTCCAGAACTTTCCATTTCTTTCATCATTTGTGTTTTGCTTCTCTCCTTTCAAAAAAAAAAAAAAAAGCCTTTATACGTCTGCCTCTCAGCCTTTGGGCACTTCTCTCCATTTCTGCAGCACATAGCATTTTTCTTTAGCATTGTTAATCTGTCATTTATTGCTGTCTCTTTCCCCTCTCCTTTCGTTCACTTACTGCCTCTCAATTCTGACATAGTGAGTGTGCTAGAGAGTGAGAAATAATGGATGTATTTGTTTGAGGCAGACACTCCGAGAGCTCATTAAACTCAAGATAAGCAGCACTCCACAACGTGCAATGGCAGCAGCGTTCCTGGTATAAATATGCTTGATAAATAAATCTAATAATTGTACCCTCTTTTTTTTTTTCCCCTCCCCCTGCCAGGAATCTGATGGAGTCGTGCAGCAGGACACCAGGTTAGCCACTTTCACCTCTCTCACTCCCAGCAGTGACACCAACACCATCACCACACCTCTCTTCCTTCCTCCCCTTCTCTCCTTCACTCCCGTAACCCCTCCTCTTCCCACACACCTCCTCCTGCTCCATTCAGCTCCCTTTCTTGCTTCCCCTCTCTCTCTCTCTCACTCTCTCTGCCTACCAGCCTGTCTCTAGTCAGAATTAGAGGAGGCTTTTACTCAATGCATGCCACTCTGAGGGGATGCACAGGGACATGAATACTGTGATCGTATCTGCTGAAAATGAGGCGAAAAGCACATAAACGGTAAGGCAACAAAGAGAAGAAGTGCATGTCTGCTTTTTATTAGCTGCTCTCAGATAAGTATGTTTGCTGCTTTGCTACACTTGTGTGAAAAAATAATGATTGTAGAGAGTAGCTGTAGTGATTGTTCTGTCCATGTGTTGCATAGTCTGAGTGCTTTCACAGAAGGGTTGGGTACGCCGATGCATGTGTTCATTCAACAGTGCAGCATGTTGGGAGAATTTGAATGGATGTTGTGCAGCGTGTCCGAGTAAACTGATGCTTCTTGTTACTGTAATCTCTGCAGCAAAGGAAGTCAGTCTGTTTTAGTATGTTTGGTTTTAGTTGAAGTAAACCTGTGGGTTGTTTTTTTTTCCTCTGCCAATTCAGCTGTCATTTTGATTTTTTTTTTGAGAATAATGAGGCACCAAATGTTTTCACAGCCCTCAATTAACTCTCATACTCATCCACCGGGCAGTATGATACCACAGAGAGGCAATTATTATGAACAAGTACATCACGAGAGAGAAAGTTGTTCTCATTATAACAAACTCACGTTGCAGGGGGTTCAAAAGAAGAGAGCCAGAAGGGTCAATCTTAAAAGTTGTACTCGCTTGATGAGTTGTGAGAAGACAAGCGGTTCATCGTTAAGTCTTGTTCTGTGTGTTGCCACGATTCAAAAATCTGCATGTCAGCACATTATGATCATAACATCTAGATGTTAATTGCTTTCACCTCACAGCGCTCACCTGCAGCAAGTACGGAGGCATTGATTTTTATAGATGATATGCGCTTCCTGGTACATAATTAAAGCAAACAGCTCCTCCAATAAGGTGCCTGAACTTGGAAGTGAGTTTCAGACTTCCTGCACAATGGGAAGAGCTTAATTATCTGGCAGAAGAAAAACCAAAGAGTGCTAAGCCTTTTGGCACTGGTTTGGTTTTGTTTTTGCAGAATCAATACGACAAAGATGGTAGGAAATTAGAATTGCTCTGGTGCTGTACATGTCAGGCAATCCCAGAGGCAATAATATCACATCAATTCAACCTCTCATGTCAAAATAAATCACGTCAAATTCAACATCTTCCTATGCCTAACTCATTGACAAGTTTCCTGGTGATCGCACCAAAACTCTACAGAAATATGTTTTATTTCAAACAGCAAAACCCTCAGGTGGACTCAAAATTCTAAAACTTTCCGACAAACTCCAGCAGCACACACTTTCCTCCTCAGTTTTCTGAAAGAATCCTCACAGACAATAAGCCAAAGAACACATCACCAAAGGCTGCTTTTGTTCTTTCCTCTACTTTATATGTAAGATGAATTAGATTGCAGCCATCTAAAACAAGATCAACGTGTTCTGATGAAACATTACAAAACTCACTGTGTTCACATCGCGTGAAGACAGTGCGTGCTAACTCAAGAGCACAAAGAAGAAGAAGGGTATGAAAAGAATTTTAACTTCATTAAAAGTCTGTTTGGAGGTATTTACAACTTAAAACTTTTAGCATAGATAGTGAAAACTTTTAGTCTCATTTGAGTTTTTAGCCTCAAAGTTCCTTTTTTAAAAATTTCTTTTTGGGCTTTTAATGCCTTTATTTTAGAGATAGGACAGATAGAGTCAGAAACCTGGGAGCGAGAGAGAGTTAGGAACGACATGCATGAAAGGGACCACAGGTTGGAACTGAGCCCATGTCGCCCCCTTAAGCCTCTGTACATGGGGCGCCTGAACCAACCGCGAGGCTACCAGTGCACCGAAAGTTTTATAGATGAGTGTAATTCCTGTTCTTTAAATTTTGGATTATTAATACTATTTTTAAAGAGGTTTTTGCACATCCAACTATCATAGGACATGCAAAGGACATCAAACTTTATCCCATTGAAAAGAAAAAAAATCCACCCACCATTATCACCAATTTATGCCGAGCAAGATTTTTTTTCTTTTCAATGGGATTATTAATATTGCCAAAGAAAACTACTTGACCTGCTCACTTGTGTTAGAAGAATAAGTTCTGTCAAAGTGGAACTGAAAGCTGAAACGGTGTGCACATGGTGTTCTTTAAACGGGACACTGTGCCCCTTTAGAAACACTGAAATACCTGAAAACATTACAGCGTAACATCTGAGTTCAACTTCCTGTAAACGAGAAAACTGCTCTTACTGCCCCGGCTCAATTTGTTTCAGAATTCACCGGGTCAAAGGGCACCAGAAGTTTCTTTGTAAGAGCACTTAAGATTCCGTTCACATGCTGATTCATTTATTTTTTTCGATTCACGAAACAAAGGAAAGAAAAGTGATTTAAAAAGTAGAAACCGCCTGCTCAGTTGGAGCAATAGGCAGAAAAGATGTATCGGCTTCAGTTAACTTGCTGTGACTTCTAATTAGCTCTCCACAAACGTTACAGCGTACCTTCATCAGCCGTATCTACCAACGATCCACTTTGCCTCCTGGAACGGCCCCGAGGAGACATCACCAGCCCCACTGGGCTTCACTCTGACTTTGAGGAATAATGCCTAAAGAGGCTTTTGTTTGTTCTTTCTCTAAGCTAGGCACGTAGCATCCAAAAAAAAGCAGATGCTACACCAATGCTCCCTTCAGGTTAGCCTGCAGCAGTTTGCGCCCCCCCCTCCATTCTCTCTCTCATTCGTCTGTCTAATTATCTCTGAGACGATGAGATCAGAGATTTATGCAGGAGCCGTTTGTGAGGGTGGACTCTGAGCATCTGGAAGAGGTTGATGAGGGATCTGCCTCGCAGCGTACTCAAGGGGGCTGGCTTTGTCTTTTGAGTGTGCACATGTATCTGTATTCTTGGATTTAGACCCCCTGTGAATCACATGTCAAAGTCTTTTAAGACTCCTTCTCTCTCTCTCTGACTTCCCACCTCACCACCCTCGTCGCTCCCTGGACTATTGGAGATACGCCTGTCTGCCACACAGCGTTTCCAAGGCTCCGTCAAAGCCATCAGGACGGGCTCAGCTGAGCAACATAAGCCTCTGTAGCCCACATGCAATGGAATTTAAGTGTCCAAGTCTATGTAATGTATGTAAGGAGAGAAGGGATCTGTGGCGTTTTAATGTCACAAATAAAATAAGGAGGATGAAGCTCTCGTTTTAACTTGATCTCACGGGTTCCACACAGGCTTTTCTTTTATTCTTGGTGAATTGTTTTCTCTCCGTTGAAGTTTATTATTGCATTAGCGTTCCATCCTGATCTCTCTTGTTCAGGGTCATGGTTCAAACACTGCAGCTATCTACATTAATTTGTTGATAAAGGCTCTGTTGTGTGACAGGCTGAAATAAAACCCAAGAAGCTTTATCACGCACTTTATCAACACACACACAATTTACAGGCTACATGTTGAACAAACTCTGCACCTCTTGCACCCATTACACCTCAATAAATACTTCAGTGCACCCTGGAGGGTTGTGCATCGCCGCTGTACGTTCATCCTACATGCACACAATCTCACAAACCCTCTGGCAGTTTAATGAACGCTGGGTTTTCCAGATGTCCAATCTGCACTGTGATGATAAAGAGAAAAAGGCTCGGAGGTGAAAAAGCTCAGGATTCCTTCTTCAAAGGCGTAATGTTGTCGTCATGGCACTTTGTCGCTCTTTGTGCTCTGCAGTGCTGAGCTGAGTCGCTGCTGTGCAACACAGGCTGTAGGGGGGAGGGGGGGAGGATCCCGTGAACTGTTTTTACTTAAAGCACATTCAAAAGTAATGTTGCATAGTTTGTACAATCAGTGAATGTAAGGATTTCTTTGATGGTGTTCTTGAGTTTGTTTTGCAGAAGAGCGGGATTTTTATGTAAAAGCTGCAGGTTTTTTTTCTCACTGGAAAAGTGAAATTAGAAAACACAGTTTGGACGGAAGCAATTTCCACAAAGATTTCTAATTATCTGTGCAAAGCTACAGGCTGCATCCCGTTACATCTACTGTAAAAAAAGCAATTACATATTTACAGCCACCAGACTTCTTCTAAAAGTAAGAAGTCGCTCTTCTACTTGAACATGCAGAGAATGATCATCTGATTCTGCAGTTATCAAAAGCCCTAAAGGGGGTTTTATTGTCTTTGAGCTTGTTGTTTCTGACCCACTAGTCACTGTTTTTGTTCACACTCATCGCTCCCATTGTGTCTTTGCTGATTTTCACCCACAGTGGGCAGGCAGGCTGACGGGCAGGCAGGCGGGTGGACAGGCAGGCAGCTGTTCAAAGAAAATTAAAAATATTCTATCATGAATTGGTAGAGTCCAAAAGCAATTTAATAGGGGGGAAAAAATGGTATAAACATGGTTCAATGCTTCAAATTCAGCCCAACATGTAGTCAAGTGCCGAACACGTACAAGAAGCCTGTTACCAGCTAAAAATACAACGTGTCTGCATGTTAAAGGTTTATGTTAGTGCCCTTTGTCTACCCGAGTGTCATTATATTAATATCTCAGTGTCCTTCACAGCTTTTCTGGGAAGAATGATCCCACTGTGTAGCCAGCAGATGCATACTGTGATGTGTGTGGTGTGACCTTAATTTGACCGATTAAAGATCAAAATGAAGATTTGCATGTTTTAGCTTCAGCCTGAATTACTGAGTGTCAGAATCCTCAAGTTTACACATTTTTTCCTGAAGCCTCATCTGTGCCTGTATTCACTTTTTTAAAGGTTTATTTAAGAGGTAGTACAGTGGATAGAGTTGGATATCGGAGAGAGAGAGAGAGAGTGGGGAATGACATGCTGGAAAGGGGGCGTCCGTCTGGTGGACCACAGACCCCTGGATGTGACATGCACATTAACCACTAGACTATAGCGCCTGCATTCACTTTTATCGTCTACAATGTCTAAGTCTATTTATAATTGCACAGGTTTAAGTTTGATTCATCTAGGGGGATTCTTTAAATCTTTTTTCAGGTTAATATATATGTATGTATGGGAGGGGGGGCGTCGGTTTTGTGGTTAATTTGTAACAAATGTTTCATGTCATCTACGTCTTTGTAACCTGCGACTGGATGCTTTGAATTTCCCTCGGGAT